CAGCAACAGCTTGAGGGAATTATTTTGTCATTTTCGTAGACTGCACTTGCAAATAATAAGCTTTATAAATCCTCACATTCTAGCTGCAAGAAAAATTACAGATGGGATGCACAGAAACTGAGCCGGTCCATAGAATCATAGAATCACCAAGGTTGGAAAAGACCACTAAGATCATCCAATCCAACCATCCACCTATCCAATGTTTCCCACTAAACCACGTCCATCAGTACAACATTTAAATGTTTCTTGAACACTTTCAGGGACAGTGACTCCACCCCTCCTTGGGCAGCCCGTAACAGAGCCTGACCTCGGAGAAAAAGTATCTACCTCAGCCTTCTCTCCTAGGTTGTCTGGAGAGGAACATCTGTCAGGTGCCAGAACACAGTCCCAACTTCTTGTCCAGGCTGCCTGGATGTAATGCTATGGATGTGAGCAAGCCCTTTACAGCCTTACTCATTAATGCCCCCTCTCTGAAAGAACTCAAGGCCAGGAGGCCAGACTGGGTGGGCTCTGAGCAACCTGGTCTAGAGGGAGGTGTCCCTGCCTGTAGCAAGAGATTGCAAATGGATGACCTTAAAGGTCCCTTCCGTATGGGGAACCATTCCATGATTCCATGAGTCTATAATAAATACAGAGCATCCTCACCCTGGCATAGATACCTTATGGCCACAGCTGTGTCAACTGCCTTTGGATCACAAGATACTCTTCACTTTGCAGTGCAGCTCAAGGTTTCGTGCTGTTCAGCTCCTCACCTGATGAATAAGAATAATAAGCATTTAGGGAATAAATGAAATGTTAGGTAAATTGGCTGTATGGTAATGGGATTATCCAAAATAGTAACTAATGTCTGATTTCAGATATGTGGAACTAATCCCAGCACTGTCAGCAGGATCTTTTTGTTCCTGTTAAAGCAAAACTGTGAAAATGCTGCAGTGTTAGCTTGTATACTTAAAAAAGAAAAAAAAAGAAAAAAAAAACCTCCTTCACCAAAACCCATAATTTTACATTATAATGTAAAAAGGACCAAACTTCAGTTGTGACACTCTGCATAGTTCTGACCCATGAAATGGGATAAGAGAGCATGGGAATGGTATCCACAGCAGTGCAATTCTTTCAGAAGAAAATGACAGTTTTTATGACTGTGTCTACAGCTCACCAGGTTCTAACTGCACATTAAGCATAATTTAATAATAATCGTCATAATAATGTAATATGGCTATTAATTTTACTTCAGAGGTAATTTGCCTGACAACACTCAGTTATGATGCTGCAGCCTGTGTAAACATTAAATAAATGGACCAAAACACTGCTATTAAGACCTGAGAGAAAGTTTCAACATATACGAGGGCCAATTATTTGAGTTTAGAGGAGTGAGACAGCCAAGGGGAACCATCAGAGGTCTTATCAGCTCAAAGAGTGTTGAAAGTCCTGTGTGCAGCTAGATGAACAGGTGCAAGATAAAGCCCACAGCAGTGCAACCTAATCCTGCTTCTGCATTTCTACCATGCCAGGGAACAGAGACAGATGGAGCAGGAGGCCATGGAGCTGCCTCATAAGGATTTGCAGGGGCTGGCAGCTGCCCCATGAAGCCAAGATTGTCCTTCGGTCACCATCAGACACCCTGGCTTCACTTGACACCCCTCAGACATGGGGACTTAGCATCCAGTCTCAAGGTCTTCACTGGTTTGCAATGCTCCTGCTTGAACAGACCACTCCTCCCAGTTAGAGTTTTAATTAATCTAAAATGAATTATTTGGATCTCCTAATTTTCGTGCTGATTTTGAATAAGTCCAAGTAATGCTGAGCTAAGAAGCTCCAGAGTCTCCACATCCAGTTTTCATCTTCCCAGAAGGGATCCAGTTGAAGTGAAACAGTAGTCAAAATGTCAAATCACAGTTATTTTTAAAGCCATTGTACACCAGATCTCTGGCTACACATAAACCACATTCTTACCGAATAAACCACGCAGTACTTGTAAGCCTAAAGTCTTAAAACACCCTCAAGCAAGATGTTGCCTCATCCACAAACCTCAGAATTTAGAGCAAATCATAAGACTCACATTTCTTTTTTAGCAAAGTTTAAAATGATGACATAAAATGAAAATGTGTGTATTAGATAGTATATGATAAAGGAGCAAGTTTAAGGAACCATGTGCCAGCATAGACACAAGCTGGTAAACCCATGCAATGTAGCCTTTCAGAAAGATCTTTGTTCTGCCTCCAGATGCATGCAGATTCACTGGCAATTACTTCAAGGGTCTCTGCAACTGTGGGACATTTTGTTCTGGAATCACTGTAGTCCGCTTAGAGACTTTTTTTGTAATAGCAATCTAAGCTTTTAAAGACTTTCACATGCACGCAACCGTTGATTGATTTTGTCTTTTTCTTGATTTGAACTTGCTTGCTTCAAAAGTCCTGACTTTTTCATTCCAGCTCTGAAATTATTTTGTCTAGCTATGGAAAACGAACAGGTATTAAATCACTGTGGGAATGGGAGACTAAATTAAAATGCGGAGATGGATCAAAATTTCAAATTCAGCTAGATTTTAATGAACTGTAACTCAAGCATATTTTGATTAATCTTCTTGACTTCTGCAGAAAATTTCTCCCTTCTTCTTCAGTGGTCAAATTAATGTTTCCTGAGCAAAACAGCAGGAACAGTGTGTACTTGGTTAGAATGCAGGAAGGTAATACTGTTTAGAAGTCACTTTGGTATTTTTTAATTTAATCTTATTGCCTTTTTAATGAAAACTCCAGATTTTGTGCTCATTTTAAAGTTAAATTTCTCCAGAAAAGGAATTAGAAACACATGAATGTCAGGAATGACACACTGCTTCAGAACAACCCATCCAGGTGTAAATAGTCTCATCATGCCAAAGGATCTGGTGGGAAGCTAGACCAGAGATGGATCTGAGACAGAAGGAATACATCAGTACTGGCTGCTCCCAGCCCTCTCCGCCTCCAGTCTGGTGATGCCACCATCTCTGAGGCAGGGAGGTCCTATCAAACACTGCATCCATTCCAGAATTCTGCACAGGGACATTATTATTAGTGGGCATAGCAACGATGGGTTGACGGGTTGATGGTTGGACTAGATGACCTTAGAGGTCTTTTCCAACCTTAACAATTCTAGTTAAGGAAATGGTGCTTTGGGAAGGTGCTGCACATCTAGTGCATTTGTGTCTTGTATAGTGCTCTGTGAGCTGTCAAATTCCTCTGTCATTTTGTGTGGAAGATGATCTCCTTTAGACTAAAAATCGTACAGGAAATCTCGCTGTGCATAATTCTGTCATACGGCAGCCGGTGTCCTTCCTTCCTACACACCTGTGAAATGAACACTAAAACGGTAAGACCTTTATATTTCTGTTTGTGCATTATTTGAGAAGTGAAATGCAAACATGACCTGTGCTGCAAAACCAAGAAAAACAAAGGCCTGAGTAGTCCAGTCAGGGAAAGAGAAGTTAAGATTGGTAAGCATAGCAGAAGTATGTTCACTTTTCTAGCAAGTAGTAAAAGTGAGGCGGATTTCATGCTAAGGCTTTAGTCACCACTCCTGAGTGTCTGCAATGTGGAGAGAAGTTCTGGAGAAGTACCACAGTGTGGGAAAAGCCAGCAAATAATATTGTAAACATAATGGTATAAATGCAAAAGTTTGAGTACTGAGAACAGCAGCTTTCACCTGTCAGAAATGATTTACCTGAGTTTGAAGAAATGGTTCTAGAGGATGAGGGAAGAATTACCAAGAGCCATCAGTACAGTCCTGAAAAAGACCAAACATTAAGCTACCTACATTTGTTCTTCCTGAAACTCTCCTTGTTTGGAGTTGGTAGAGAAATAACATTCATTTATATAGAATGTCATTTGTACCCACAAAATGAAAGATTTTGTTGTTTACCTTCTAAATTCGTGATGTGTGGCAGACTTATCCAGAGGTTATATATCAATATTTAATAAGTATTTGACATACAGTACTTAACTGAGGTTTTCTTAGGAATACATAGCTAATAATGTACAAATAATTAAAGGAAAGCCATCACATCCTGCCTATGTAAACACATTTTGTTGAGAATATGCATTTGCTTCATGAATTCCTTTCTCCTGACCTTTCTTCCTAGTCAGCTGAGCTTCCTCCTCCATTACTGAGCAACAATATTTTATTGTTGTGCTTGCCTGAGTTGTCTGCTTCAGATGGGACATGTTCTCCAAGTTACAGCTCCCCACCACGTCCAGATTTTTTTTCAGCCAAAAGACACCCTGAATTAGACCTTGAACTCAGAATAGCTGCCTATCTTCATGTCTCTTAATGCAATCTAGTACCTTACCAATCTGTTGCACTACAGCAGCTGCCAGAGTGATGTTCAGCAGAGCTGTGATAGGAAGGTAACAAAGAAGATAGCCCCACTAATCTAAATTCAACCCCACATACTATTACAATGTCCCCCAGGAATTTTGCTGATGTTTGTACATTGACCACCAGCCCAAATGTCAAAGCAACGTAATTAAAAGGTTGCTCCAACCCCTCGGGAAACCAAGTCAACCTGTGGATCACAGGATCAGGACTTAGCTCCAACAGAGAAAAGTTTTTCCAGAAGCTCCTCAGCCTTGGCAACTGCTGAGTGTGGTGGTGTGGGTTTGTTACACAAGTCACCTGTCAGGGAACAAAAGGATGACAAAAGGAAGCCATACACATTCTCAACAAGCAGTCGGAGATTCAGCAGTGGGCGAGTCATTCACTGATTAAATACAGGAAGAAGAACTGCATTTAATAAAAAACGTTAAGACTTTGGTCACAGATGTACTGCATGCTATTATACATGCACATAGAAGAAGGCTGCACACCATAAAAATTACTTTCTAAGCTCAACCTCATATGAGGTCCAGCCTAATGCTTTTCTGGCATGTGTCATTTTACATACACTTCTCTGCCTATTTGAAAAAATAATTAAGGTTTTGGGAAAGCAGTGGGTCGTTATAACAGCACTTCTTCCTTCTCTGTTACAGGAATGACATGCCAAGCTCGAAGTTCATATGTTACAAGTGAGATCCTGTGGGGTTATCGTTTCACCCCTGTCCTCACTCTGGAGGATGGATTTTATGAAGTTGACTACAATAGTTTTCATGAAACATATGAGACCAACACCCCAGTTTACAGTGCCAAAGAGCTGGCAGAGATGGCCAGCCGAGCAGAACTGCCCCTGACTTGGTCTGTTTCCAGCAAGCTGGACCAGCATGCTGAGCTGGAAACTGAAGAGGAAGAGAAGAATCAAGAAGACCAAAATGAAAGAAATGGTGATGTGGCAAACCTAGAGAACGAGTCCAAAGTGTAGAACCAGAGGTGTAAGGGCCACATGACCTTCTTTATCTTTTCCCTTTATGTTCCCCTTTTACTTCTTCCACGTTTTTATTTTTCTTTTTTGTCATTATTAATTCTGGGAAAATAAATAGTTCAGATGTGAAATATCTACCTGCCCAGTTCAAACTCAAGAGTTTCACAGACTAAGTTAAGATGTAGGTTAAAGCTGCAATACCCATTACATACACTGGAATCTCCATCCCCACCCTGGTAACGACTGCTGGCTTCCTCTGCACTGCTCTGAGTTCAGACCTCCAGGTTTCCTCAAAGTAACAAAAAAACCCATCAGAGTATAAACAAGGTAAATAAAAAGGAAGGACTAATTGATGCTCATCAAAGCAATGGGCCTTGGCTCCAGGCTTTTTTTATGCATTTCAGGACAGCTTTGCAAACTGGATGACAAGCCTTTGTAAAACGGGCCTTGCAGCTTTAAGAGGATGGTGAGCAGAGGGATCTGCGCCCCAACATGATACTGTACATATGCCTTATGTAATTACTTTCTCTTTACATTTAGTAATAAACAAAGCATGTACAAAAGTACTGTAGTAAAGAACTTCTAAATAATGTACATAGATGTGTAATTAATATAGATTTAGAAAATGAGTTCTAGAAACATTGGGATGCAAATACAAGCTACCCCTTGAGTAAGCACTTCTCTTCTAATATCCGGAGTGTCATATTGATTCCCCCCTTATATCTATGGCTCTTTTAGTGCATGACATCTTCTTCAGTGTACCAGACTGGCAGCTATTTTAGAGTACCTCACTGTTTCCCAAACAGGTCATTTTATTGACTCTAAAAAGCCATAAGTCTGGGAGAGGGCAGGGTAGAAAAATTGTAACATACTTACTGATATACTGTGAAAATGTTTACAAATAAGGCAAATCATTCCTGGGTATTTTCTCAGCAGTTCGACCTAAATTTAGACTGTGGCAAACAAGAATTTCTCTGCGCGCTCCTAATCTAGCAAGCATGTTTCATGCAGAGGTATCAGCCTTTATGTGCAATATCTAGGGAAACATCTCCCTTCTCCCCGCTCAAACCACGGGATTTCAATTAAGCGGTTCGATGCACGAACAGCGCAGGTCACTGGAAACCGAGTGGGCCTGTCGCATGCAGATGGCAGCTACCCAGCCAGGAAGGAAACAGCTGAAGCTGCATTGGAAGAATTTCACTCGCCAGCAGCACCGGTGCTTAGTGGGTCCCAAAAAGTCACAAACCACGTGCCATCTTTGGGTGACAGGCTTCAACAGGGCTTCTCAGCAAAACACACGGATCCTGCCGCCTGTGCTAAGGAGAGGGGGGGTCCCTACAACAGCTCCTTGGCTGCCATAAACCACTGTAAATCCTATACACCCCAACTTAATGACTTCAGAATTGACGGGACAAAGACAGCTTGCATAGCTCACACTGCAATGTCTGCATCCAGAGCAGAGCCAACCCATTCAATCTGTGGGTCATGCCAGGCCTGTGTGTGCTAAGTGCCACCTGCTCAATGCAGGTCATGTTGCTCTCATTTGGCTTTCTCCAGGCCCATCCGCAACTGCATTTCTGTCAGTGAAGGAAAAGGAAGCTGCAGCCTTAATTTGTTGTTTGTTTGGTTGTTTTTTTTTTTTTACTTTTATACCTGCCTACTCTGGAAAGAAGGAACATATTGAAGGGAGTCCAAAGCATCTTTTGTATAGAAACATTTACACTAAAATGGGAAGAAAATTTAAAAAAAACAAAAACAAAAAAAAAAACCTCAAAACCCTCAGGAGAAACTCAGTGGGCAGGTGGAAATTTTGCACTGTGATATAGCTTTCACTTCAAGTACATACCTATTTCTTGCTTAAACAACTGCCCCTTGCTAATTTTCACCAGGTGTGGCTAATCCATGGGGTTCTGCAGGTCCTCCCGCTGTGCTTAATGCCAAGGAGGAAGAACAGGGGAAGGGTAAAGGTTTGCACACTGGGGATGGGCAGGGCAGGCTGAATAGGAAGCCTTGCTTCAGCTCTGAGCATCCTTTGTAAAGGCTTCCACAGAGCAGGATTACACAAGCAATGGATCTTTGTTCCATCCACCCAGGACGGCTGATTTTATCAACTCGGTAAGGGTTATTTACACCGATGTTTCATGAGATATGTAACTCACTTGCTGCAGACATTTTAAAGCTTGGTCATTTGCCCCAACAAAAGAGCAAGCCAAGTCCTCCTGCTGACCCACCACAACCTATCCGTAATCACCCAGCGCTTCTAAGGCAGGATCACCTCAAAGCTCTGCTGGAAGACAGGAGCTCTGCAGCAGAGAACCTAGTGATAGCACGTGGGTAGCCAAGAGCCTATGTATGTCAGTCTGGAGTCCTGGCAAAAGGTGCATGAGCTGAAAGCAAACCATTCCTCTGAGGATAAACCTGCTTTTTGCTCTCGGAATATACCGGGCCTCTCTGTAATTCATTGCTGCAGTTTAAGAAAAGTTTGTGCTAATTAGAACAGCAGCTCAGGGCCCTATTGAAACCTTTTTTGTGTCCTTTAGCACAAAAAAAAAAAAAATAGATTTTAAGCCACTGGGGCATGCGCATGTGTAAGCTATATTTTTGTGAATAGGGCACTTCAAGCTTAAGCTGTATGTGTTTGTCTTTTTCTCTCTCCCCTTCTGTATTTTACTGTCTTTGGTATTCATGTAGCACGGACTGTAAAGTTTATGAAATCTCATTTTTGTAAGATAAGCTTAAAAATATAGAAGCCTCCAAAGCTTTCAATGAGGAAGCTTCACATAAACTTTGTACTAGAATGTCCCTATCAAACACCTCTATTTTTCTACAATGATTGATTAAGCAGTTTACCAATGTATTTTGTGTCAATGATTTCAACTGAATTGGTAAAAAGGCAATTAAGAATTGAATGCTGTTAATTAACAATGGATTTTCAAGCCGTATATGCTGAGTGGCGTTTTCATTATAACAACCTGAGAACTTCATCTCCTAACCCTAAACAATATACTCTGAAATATCAGTGCCCCATGGGAATATTGTTGGCAAATCACATTTCAGGAACATAAGTAATGCAATATTTTTATTTAATTGGCTGCATAATTTATCGAGATTCATTATATCTTCATATACTTCACTCATACATGTTGATGTCTTTGTCTCAGTGTATCTCATAATTTGCAGGATCAAAAGAATTTCCAGAGATAAATGTGAACTTGCAGCCATCTACTTTAGCACTCGGTTCCTTCTACAAACAAGAACGCTGCAGATATCCATACAGACTTCATGCATAGTACTGCAGAGTCATCTCTTACTTCTTCTCAATCTCCCTAAATCTTTGTTCTACAAAACTACAACCACTGACGTGAGACATCCCAAGAAACGTAACTTTGATGGTCAAAGTGAAATGTCAGCTTCTGTGAATGGCCTTGCTACAAGCTTGTACGTCTCTAGACCTGCAGCACATGCAGAATGGACTACACAGCCCTGAGTTAGCAGAGCTCTGAGAATCTTTTGCCACATGGAGGAAGGAAGTGTTATGACATAGAAAGGTCCCCAGCAGGCAGCTGCTAAATCAAGCAGTACAGTGTGCTTGCAAAAGGGAAAATGTTTGATGGGCTGTTTGAAATTACCTCATGACAGGCTCTGGATTTACATGCCCAGCTTTGGTGCACAGAGGTGCCTAGTTCTGGTGTTGCCCATATTCTGCTCCAGGTAAAGAAGAAGCTCAGGCCTTCTAAAGACAGGGAATACATCTATCTTCTTTTCAGCAACATGGCACAAGTTCCTATTTTGCTCAACTGTGTAGCATTAGACTACTGAGGAAAAGGAAGACCTGGACTCAGTGCCTTCTTCAGAACAGGGAAATTCAAATCTTTGCCCTACGTCTCCCAAGAAACAAACTTAGCTATAATAATAACAGCAAAGTCCCAACACCCACGCCAAGGTCAGATGGATACTTGAATTCTTTCACTAGACCAAAGAAAGTTTAAATCCTTCCTTCATAAATTTTAAACAAAAGAATGGAAAATTCTTCACTCCCTATGAGGCTCTATCATATTGACCAGGGCAATGCCTGGCTGTGTGGCAGATAAAGGTACAATCCTCAGGTTAGGGGAGGCACAGAATTCACTTTTCTCACCTTGTCCAGCAGTCAATCGCTCTCTGCAGAGGTGCATCACCACAGCCTTTGTCTATGCTTCTGAATGCAAGTAGCTTGCACGTCTCCTGGGGCCCCAAATCCTGCAAGGTCTGGGCTTGATGCATTCTGAACACCATTTACCTGAGCAGCCTTCCTGGGAGGTGGAAGAAAGCCAAGTCATTTTATGTCATGCCAGCTTTACTGTGAGACGGCTGCAGAGCTTACAAGGATGGATGGATGTACTACCTTCCTGGCAGAGGTAGGGGGTACGTGGGATTTCTGGCTTGTTGAGATCTGAATGGTGAATTTATACCATTTGCTCTTAATACTTGAAGTTAAAGTGAATTAGAGGCTTAAAGCTGAAAATGTAATGTCTCCATGACAATGAGAGGGTAGGACACTTCTTTAGCTAACAGCAGATTCTCACCAAAAAGCATCCATTTCTTACTATTACTGTAATTTTTGTCTGCCAAAATACACTTCTTTTCAGAATATCAGCCCTGTTAAAAACTACATTACCTCATTCAGACACTACTTAGCCTATAAATCAGATTTAAGTAAACAAGAACATTGGCTTCTCTTACGCTCTTGTTCCTTCAGTTCATAAATGTATTGTTTGGAAATTACTTGGAAAGCAGCATTCTGCCATCCAATTTATAAAGACAAGACAGGAAATCTATTTATTACTTATAATAAATGATTCTCTTTTATGCTTCCTGAGTTAATTTTAAACTTCTAGGATTAGCCTGTTGGAGAGAAGGGGTGTTATTGCACATTCTAGAGTACATTTCATTTTACGTACTTGGTTCAATATTATTTCCACTCATTCCTATTTTTTCAGCTTCCCTGGATTTTCAGAAAC